AACGTTGTGGTTCAACATTAAACCTAATCAAAGCAAGCAGTACCACAACATTTGTGGATTGGCACACAAGAGAATAGAGCATAGTAAGTCATAGACTTGGTATTAGGGATAGAAATGGGATAGACGCGGCGGATAATGGAGCAAGTTTGCTGACAGTAGGTTTTACCAGAGACGTGGTCCATGTAGCAAAGGCTTGACCATGAGACTTAATCAGAGGCTTTAGCCTCGAATTAGTCACCCAGAAGCAGGGGAGGGGTAATAATGCCTCGAGTAGCACAGATGGGGAGGCAGGGGTCTATTGAAATACGTGAACAAGGGAGACTGTTAAAACGTCTGCGAATGTACCCCGTCCACGGTCCGACTTTGGGAATTATCATCCATACAATGAACTCCAGACTAGGTGCATTCCTCTAAATCCTCCTACTAATATGACCAGGTTGCGAAAACAAAGTCAAACTACTCCTTGCTTAAATAGTTTATGGCCTGATGTCTATGCATGTGCATATATCGAATCCGATATACTGCTGGATGCTGGCTTAGATTTACGTGATCATTCAGATAGATCGACTAAAAAAAAACAGTTCAAGTTGTAGTAAATGAATCTTCCTACCAGGTTGCGAAGACAAGATCAAACTATTTCTATACAAAGAAAGGAGACTGCGACCCCACAAAAGGCCACAGTTTAGAGGGAAACTAAGCCCAAGGTATATGCTTGCCAGCTTACTAGGTCGTCTGCTTCCTCAAGCTTCGATCTAGCCACCGAGATTTACTCTGACTTAATGCGACTTTCTTCTATAGGCTCAGTTCTCATTCGTAAATCATATTGACCTATGTAAGCTTCTTTGTGACTTGGTCTCAGTTCTATAATAGGATTGAGTATTCGTAGATTGTAACACAACTAAATCACAAAAACAGCCTAACATTAGAATCGACAGAATAGTTTATTATAATGTAGGTCTGCCATCAGGCTCTAAATTGCACCTTAACTTTAAAGAGCAGCAATATTTCGAGCTTCTTAGCCATTTCTGGGCAGTGAAAAAACGTGCCAGTGGTAAACATATCTTATATCTACAGCCTAGTGCAATACAGCCTGCATTAACTTTTTTGCGCCAAACTAGACGAATTAAGAAATCAAATACCCTTCCATTATAATTCCCAAATAGGTAGAGTTAAACACAGTATCGACATGATCTTGGTTTATACTGACGAATTCTGCAATAAAAACCACGGAAGACTTATTCTGACTATGACTTTTAAAATATCATAGTCACTTGATATTAAGCATTCCAAACAGAGAAACATACAAGGCTATTGAATTTCCAGTCTGTGGCTTCATTGGCCCAAAAAGAAAAAAAACGATGGGTCGAAGTCATCAAGATAGCTTCCAAACCCCCGTAAAATATCACTAAATAGCATCTCAGCCACAATCCTTTGAGAGATATACGAATATGTATCAAGTAAATTCAAATGGTTAAAATTGAGATACCAAAAACTGCAACTAGCAGCAATTGTTATAATGGTAACTAAATACAAAATGAAGGATGTTGGATAGGTAAATAATTTTTGCGCTCCTTAAATAAGGTAAAATCTAGTTGTGAAGTCAGGTGGCGATGCTACATTATATTAGGATAACATGGCATTTAGTCCATAATATAGAGGCTATGTCCGTTTGTAAAGTGCAAAGAGCCTGAGTATACTGGTGATCGGTAAGCGTTTCGTACAATTAAAGTAAAAGGTATGAAAAACTAACGAACACTAAAAATTTTAGCAGTAGAGAATGCTATCGTTGATGTGGGGGATTAAGAAATATTTCAAAACTCGGTTTTATTAAGGTACTTAGGATGAATGTCATGAAATAAGGCATTTGACTAATCCAATATAAAATAAATTGAGACAGGTTATCCAGATTGGGTGGGTGAGTGACGACTCAATCCCCATAGCTTAAACTGGGGATAAAGAAATGTGAAGCTCCTTTTGAAGTTAGTTAGATGGATAAGGTATAAGCTGTTCAAGGGTTCATGCCAATTAATCCAGAATGAGCGAGGAGAATGAGTCAGTGAACTCCCATGAGAATAATAAGAATGTATACATTAGCAAAACTTAAAAAATGCGTTAATACCTATAATTCGAGATAATGTACAGTATTCTTTAGCCTAAAATGTGTGGATTACCGCTGTTCTGCCCAAATTTGTATTCACAGCGTGGACCCAACGGATGAAATCGAAGCTTGCCGGACTCAAATAAAGACATGGTGGCCAAGTATCCATGCAGAGTGCAGCAAGCTGATTACTGTCACGCATCACCAACTTGGCTAGACTATGAAAGTCACGTTCTTTCAGTGCGTGCTCAACCTTAGTGGCTCTGGCTTCAGCGCAAATAGCACGGCCCGAATTGTACAAAAAGCTAGTGGCTACTGTTTGTTTCATTCCATAAGTTGAAGGCATCATCTTGTTACGGCGATCCGTCTATACGGTAGATATGGATTGAATAAAGGGCGTGCATAAAGTTGTAAATAAATAGGGATTCACAACAATCGATATACAGAAGTTCTATAATGCACTTTTTTTTAAAAATCGTTATCAAAATATTACATATTGAAATCCAAAAGCAATCAATTATAAAATATTATAACCTATGTTGGAGCCGTCCTGGCCGACATCGTAATATGGGGTTGTCATATTAAGATAATCTAGAGTAATCAGCGTAAAGTTTAAGTATTTATGTAAGTTAATAATAGGATGAGCTCAAAATTTACAATGCAAATGTGGTTCTTCCAAGAATAGAATGCATAATACAAAACGGTAGATTTAGAATAATTAGAATAATTTACTGCTGAAGCTAGTTGAGGTAGTAGGGACAATTTCAATAAAGTCCAAGACAAATCCATATATAATGTGATAATTGTGAAATACTGCCAACGCAAAAAGCATGAGGATCTATATTGACAACATTCATTGTTTCAAATGACAGTGAAGATAAGGGAGTAAATTTACCTGTACTTCTTGATTCCAAACCACAGATCTCCTGAAGGATTACAACTTAATCTACGTAATGAATAAAACGTTTCAGAAGATATCCTAGTGAATTTTGCGAATCAGAAAGAAATCACAATTAAATTGGTCTAATGATGTATCAGAAATGTCACTGACTGAAAGTTTCTGATCTATGCTCGCCAGGTGGCTGGTATCAAACCAGTTTATAGGTGAGTTAAGAAAAAAAGCAACGGGTAACTTGATGTTTTAAGCAAAATCCAGCTTACTACACAAATAATTATCCTTAGCTCCGGCCAATGGGTCTCGGGAAAAAGCTGTTCTACTATGGAACGATGATTCGATACGGCAGGGAGGCTACGAATAGATGTGCTTGCAGATGGCTGAGGTGACCAGCGAACACAACCACCGAACATACTGCGACACGCAGAGCCAGAGCCCCGTCTAGCCATTGTACAGGTATCATCATCATTTAGGTCATACAAGACCTTAAGAGCTACAGCTGGATGAGGTACGGCGACAGGAGGTAGAAAGTTTAAAATGTAAAATTGCAAAATATGCATACTTCGCCCCGAGAGAAAAGTATGAGCTAATTCTAATTTTGCAAGATAAGCCAAGGATAAAAACTATTTTATGTGGAATATTACTTACGATTGTATCAAATAAGACTCATGCGACTTTAGCGCATGTGCAATGAGTAGAGGACAATTGACTAGCAGAGAGAAAGAACTAGTAAAAATCAGTTATGCACTCAATCTCTTAGGGTTTGTTAGGAGGAAAATACGGTAGCCCATTATATAAAAAATGATAATATAAAAAGTAATAATTAAGTCCAAATATAAAATTAATGATTCAGAGTAGATCAGGAAAAAGGTTGATGATTTCTGACAGGCATGGAGTAAAAACAGAATATACCAAGGCGTAGATAAATAAGTAATTATAAGAAAATATAAGTAAGCTTAAGTGGCATACATAATGCAGCTAACCCCGATGCTGATGAAGCTAGGCCTGCTCCAGTAGGGAAATCATTTACTGACTCTATCAAAAGATTATATGAGTGAAACTTTGATCCCAATAATCTTGCCTTAGTCTGGGCTTTAAAAATAGTGATAATAAATAATTACCTATTGCAATTACGTCTTTAATTCGGTTACT